GAAGCATTACATCAATATTCTTTCCAGGACTTTGGGGACCTTGGATAATCAATGAAAGGAATACATATTCTTGCTTCATGCACATTGTTGGAGGCAGGTTATAAACCGACACAAATACTGGCCAACAAGAGTATGGAGATGCAGAATGTCCAAAAGGAGTGAACCCATCAGTGCACAGACCTAACCTAACATTCCTCGGTTAACTAGCAAACTCAGGGTGAGTCCTATCAAAATGCTTCCATGCCTCTCCACATGCAGGATGAAAAATTTTCTCATTTTCATTATGACAATTTAAATGCCAGGTCATATGCTTGGCAGTTTTCCTAGACATATACAATCTCTGAAGTCTAGGAATAATTGGAAGATACCACAAAGACTTTCTTGGTATAGGCTTAGTAGAATGCACATCACGCTACTTAAATCGTGGCTCTTCACATACCTGGCATTGTAAATAACACTGACTTTCATATTCTCCATAATACAAAATGCAATTGTTCACACAAACATCATACTTTTTATACCCAAGACCTAGACGCCTCAACGTCTTCTTGGCACTATAATAATCTGTTAGCAATTTCTATCTATCAACTTTTTTGAAGGCCATTAGACTATGCTTTAGCACATAGTCCCAATTAATAACACTCATGTTAAAAAGTGTTTTTGCACTCACAAGCTCACACACCCACTTTAAGATAGTGACACCATCATCACACCCTTCAAAAAGAGGGGTATCAGCTGCTCGCAAAAGATCAAAGAACTCTTTTTCATCTCCTCTTGGCTCCTCAAATATCGATTATATATTGACACCATATGGATCACCAAAACTATCATCAAATTGTGTTGCATCTTCTACCCCTGTGGCACTATTTTCATTATTAAAAAAATTTGGTCCCATGGCATCATGAAGCATGTCTCTGAGTTGATCGACACTTAGAACATTATGTTGACTCAATGTACTCCAATAGGGGGGGTGAATTGGAGTTCTAAAAATTCTCCCCTTTTTGCAACCACAACACCCAAATTAAAGAAAGTAGAGAAGAAGAGTTTGCTCAATGATTTATAGAGGTTCGGTCCAACCACTTGGAGCCTAGTCCTCTACCTTGGCTTCACTCACCAAGGATTTC